TATGTGGGGTGATGCTATGCTAGTGACCGGTTAGGTCGGTATCCTGGTTAGGATGATGATATGCTATGTGATATGTTGATCGGTTTGTTGACTGTGAATTGTTATATGTTTGTATGTTTATGTGCACATGGTTGTTCGTACTGGAGTTGGGTTGAGGCGGGTCCTGCTTTGTGCTGTAGGCCAAGATACCCAGGGTGGACCAGTTGTCCCGAAGGCCCAGCGAGCGGTCCGGATAGGCTATAGGCCCTAAGAGGGCGGACCAAACGTGCCGAGGCTCGGAGAGTGGACCAGGCCTACTGAAGACCCGGTGTGGGCGGACCAGTCATATTGTAGACTTAGAGAGTGGACCAGGTGGATTGAAGGCCCGGTGCGGGCGGACCAATCACACTGGATGAAAAGTTTAAAATTGGATGAAATTTTTCGGTCGTTACAGCAGGCTTCGAGGACGAAGCCTAATTTAAGTGGGTGAGAATTGCAACATCCCGAGTTCAGAAGTGCAAGTTCAGGGTTCAAAGTGTAAATGTGAAAGGGAAACTTGGCGAGTCCATGGGTGGACTCGGCGAGTAGGGTCGTGACTTTGGTCGCGTGTTAAGTGGCCAACTCGGCGAGTAGGCGTTGAGTGGAGAAAACCCTAATTTCGGAGGATGAGCCTTATATAAAGGACATTATACCCTCTCCCCAGCCTCTTTACCCTCTCTTGAAGTCCAGAAAACCCTAAGTTGCAATTGTGAGGGATTTGAGTGCATTTGGACCTTGGAGAAGAGATTTTGGAGGAGATCTTGGAGAGTTAGGAGGCTTGGAGCAAGGGGCTTTGCTAAGATTCGGATTTTTCTTCTGTTTGGGCTTCCTTTTGAGGTATTACTTCATTTCTTAGGCTGTTATTCATCTAGAATCATCATTTTAGAGTGTGTGGAAAGTTTGGCTTGTGGTATTTCGAGTTTGAAGGTTAGATCTGAGGTTGCTACCTCAGATCTGGAATGGAGAAGGTTTAGAGTGCATTAAAGTCCCTGTTCTTGAGTGTTTGGTGAAGCCATCTTGTCCCAAACCCTAGCCCTAGAGTGTAAAATGCCTAGATCTCTTTGGATTCACGTAAAGTTTGCCACTTTACGTGATGGATGGGTTGTAGAAGGGTAGATCTACGTTTTGGATCAACTGCATGGCCTGGAAGGCTTCTGTATGGGTTAAGATCTAGAGGCACTCGACGAGTCACAAAGGTGTACTCGGCGAGTTGCTTGAAGATGGACTGGAACTTGGCGAGTTGGAAAAACAACTCGGCGAGTAGGTTGAAGATAGCCTTGGACTCGGCGAGTCTTTTCATGGACTTGGCGAGTCTGGTCGTAAGGTCCAAACTTCTTCTGGTTAAGCCATGAATTAGTGAGTCAAGGGAGGACTCAGTGAGTTGAGTGCGAGGGGACTCAGAGTCATGGGACTCGGCAAGTCTCGGGGTGACTCGGCGAGTCGAGTCGTGGATTGGGGAAGTTCTGAGCATGAGGACTCGGCGAGTCATCGGGTTGACTCGGCGAGTAGAGTTAGTCAGGAGGTTGACTTTGACTTTGACTTTGACTAAGGGTTGACCAGTTGACTTCCAGGGGTATTTTGGTAATTGTCGGCTTTTGTTTGAGTTTAGTGTTGGTGTTAGCTAGTGGTGGAGATCGTATCAGTGGTCGGAGCATCTTGGTCTTATCTTTCAGTCGGCAGTTGCGAGGTGAGTTATCCTCACTATATCAACAGGGTCTAAGACACCAAGTTCGGCCCTTCATCGGATTGAGATCCGGGTATTTGTTGTTATGTTATTGATTTGATATGTTTGCATCCTGGTAGCTAGGATGGTATATGTTAGAGACCTGGTTAAGGTCGGTATCCTGGTATGTAGGATGATGTTATGCTAGTGACCGGTTAGGTCGGTATCCTGGTTAGGATGATGATATATTATGTGATCTGCTAGATTGGCTTGTTGACTGTGAATTGTTATATGATTGTATGTTTATGTGCACATGGTTGTTGGACTGGGGTTGGGTTGAGGCGGGTCCTGCTTTGTGCTGTAGGCCAACATACCCAGGGCGGACCGATTGTCCCGAAGGCCCAGCGAGCGGTCCGGATAGGCTGTAGGCCCCAAAAGGGCGGACCAGACGTGCCGAGGCTCGGAGAGTGGACCAGGCCGACTGAAGGCCCAGTGCGGGCGGACCAGTCATACTGTAGACTCAGAGAGTGGACCAGGTGGATTGAAGGCCCGGTGCGGGCGGACCAATCACACTGCAGACTCGATGTATATGGCTAGAATCGGAGGGTGGACCAGGTGGACTGTTGGCCGGTGCGGCGGACCAGTCACACAGTAGACCCGAAGTGCATGGTTGTTATGTGTTCTGTTATGATATGGCATGTTATGCATGTATGGTATAGGTGGTTGGTATTTTGGGGGTATCTCACTAAGCTTTCGGGCTTACAGTTGTGGTTTAATGTTTTTTAGGTTCTTCAGGAGACCGTGACAAGGCAAAGACGTGATCGTACCGCTCCTCATGATTATGTTTTATGATGTGGTTCTAGGAAGACTCTGATAATAGTTGTATTGAAAACCTTTTTGTAATAACATTATGAAAATGGGTTGTTTTTGAAAAGTTAAAATTTGTTGAAATTTTATGGTCGTTACAAAACTTTTTTCTTTTTTCGTCGTTTGTACATGTAAATGATTTCACAAAAACAAATTAGGGAGGATATATACCATCACTAAGATAGTAATTGCGCTTACATGCTACCCCGTTTGCTTGAAAAGGTATATCGTGCAACTTTCCAAGATAGATATCGTTGAATACCGGTGAATAGTCTAGAAAATTGATGTCATTGTTTGCACAGATGGACCAAAGAATGCATACAATATCCAAAGATCATGTGATGCAATTGCTTCTAGAACAATCATCGACTCTCTGTAGTCACCTCGCATGTACAAACCATGCCAAGCATTAGGGCTCAATGTCTAAGCCCAATGCATGCAATCGATACTACCTAGCATTCCTGGTTGCCTCTATGCACTGTGTACAATTAGTGGACATCGTTGATAGTTGGTTTGCGTAAATATCGTTGCTGATACACCAAAGTAATAGCTTTGAAGAACTTGTACACACATTCTCATACGGTATGCATATACATAAACTAATCATTTATAATGTAATCACAACCCGCTATCATCCAAAAGAAAGAAAGATAACCAACAACAAAACTAAGTAAAAATGTTATGTGTATTAAGGAGGGGGGTCTAGAAAACTGGAAATCATATAGGAAATATATGGAGATGATGAAATTACATAGATAAAATATCTTTAGCACTAAATACCAATAAGAAAAGTTATTTAATATTCATGTTTAAGCAAATGTATAGTATTGTTTATGTTAGGCATGTCATCGAACACCTATTAGTTGTCATCATAAAACATTGCTTTATAAACCTCTATTGTCATTTACCTGCTGCAAGCATTAAAAACATTAAAAATATAGTAAAAATCTTGAAAAACTTCATAATTGCATTTTCCAATGCTTTATTAATCTTGTTTTAGAAAGAAATCCAGTGGAACGTTGCAATTTTGGGAAGATCATAGAAGATTAGATGTGGAAACATGTTAGGGTTTTTGGGTGTTCTTCACCGATTACAATTTATGAAGTGACTAAAGGAAGAAAAATCAAAGTACCTTCTTTTTCCAGCGAAATCCATCAAAATAGTTACCCCCATATCACCATATCAGTAATGTGCCATCAATTTGATGTTATTCCTGGCGGGGTTTAGGGTTTGATTAAAAATCCTACAAAATTCAAATACCAAAAAAGTTTGAGAATCATGAGTGATGTAGAAATAAGAGGTCATCAGTTGCATCGTTTCTCTTCTAAGAACGATTCATGAAAAAAAAAGGATCAAAATTTGGTTGATAATCAGAGATTTAGAGAGATTTCATAAATCTCAAAATCAAAAAAGTCTTGTGAATAGAAAATAAAAGGAATTCCAAATATAAATGAAGAGAAAATACATGCCTATTCTTGAAGCCCATGAACAACAGAAAATTCTACAAAAATCAAAAAAGAAAGAAGACTGTAGCGACCAAAGTTTGTGGTCATTGGTGAAAAAAATGAAGATTTCAAAAGAGGATGGCAACATTAATATATCTAGCTATGGTTTGGCGTATATAATGGAGATTTGGTTTCCAAAACCGACGGAGAAATTAGAGGAGGAAGAGGCGTGATAACGGGTGATTGAAGAATGATTTCAGTATTTTTTTTGTTTTATTTGAGTTTTGAATTTGAATAGAAAAAGAAGGCGAAATCAAAATGAAATGAGTAAGAAAAAAGAAAGCTAAGATGCTAGAAGGATATTTTCGATCTCAAGGGTAAAGTCGAAATTCACATTGGTTATTTGAGCCGAAAAAATTACATAAGAGGTGTTGAGTGACACTTTAGTAATTATTTATTACATTAAGGGATTTATAGTAAATTTAAAAAAATTACAAAATATACAAGGTATCATTATGAAACTATAATGGGCTCGATTCCATTTCTTTGAAGAAGAAAGGATGGCAAACATTGCAAAAAGCTATCTGAGTGTGGAAGAAGATGACGGACCAGATAAGGAAAACTATGGACCCTACTATATTGGATGTTGTCTAAGTGAGTTCCAGCATTGATTTACACTGTATTAGACCATCTCCAACACATCTTCATTTTTTCTTCTATAAATGAAGTAAAAAATAGAGTAAACAGTCTTTCATCTTCAACCTTACTTTATTTTCTATCCTATTTTTTAGCCTAAAAATATATTCCTAGAATATTTTATTTATATATATATATATATATATATATATATATATATATATATATATATATATATATATATATATATATATATATATATATATATATATATATACCCTCTACTAAAACTCTATATTATCTGCAAATTCTCATCCCTTCAAAATCAAAACCCTCAATAAAAAACGAATCCTTCCTTTATTCAAATTCCAATGGCTGAAATCGTTGTTAGCGCCGTCATCACTGTGCTGTGCGAGAAGCTAATCTCTGGTGACTTGATGAAGCTGGCTCGATCCGAAGGTATCGATTCTCAGCTGAGAAAATGGAAGAAATTTTCAATTGTGGGTGAACGATCTCCAGGCTTTGGCTTACGACATAGACGATGTACTCGATGATTTGGCCACCGAAGCTCTGCGACGCAAGTTGAATCAAGAAGCTCAAGCCAGCTCCAGTAGTAGTAAGGTATTGAAGCTCGTCCCAAATTGCTGTACTAATTTCACTCCTCGCAACTTCATGTATGGTCGGAAGATGAGTTCAAAGCTAGATGTGATCACTGCCAAATTGCGTGATCTTGTTGACCAGAAAAATGATTTGGGTTTGAATGTAAATGTTGAAAGGTCAAATATAAGAGAGAGACAGTTGGAGCAAACTTCACTGGTAGATGAGTCCAAAATCATGGGTCGGGAAGGGGATAAAGAGGCCTTGATGGGGAAATTGTTGGGAAATGAAGGATGTGACCAGAATGTGAGCATAGTGTCGATAGTTGGAATGGGTGGGATAGGCAAAACCACTCTTGCGAAACTCTTATACAACGAGGAGAAAGTGAAGGATCACTTTGAACTCATGGCATGGGTTTGTGTTTCTGAAGAGTTTGATGTATTTAACATTAGCAAGGCAATCTTCCAAGCAGTAACCGGTAAAAACGAAGACTTTGCTAATCTCAATCTGCTTCATGTGGCCCTCAAAGAAAAACTTTCAAAGAAGAGGTTCCTACTTGTTCTAGATGATGTCTGGAATGAAGACCACGTTAAGTGGGAACTCCTCCAAGGCCCTCTTCTTGTAGGGGCACCTGGAAGTAAGGTTATTGTTACAACAAGGAGTAACAAGGTCACATCAGTGATGTACTCAGAAGAAGCTTACCCTCTGGGGGTTTTGTCAAATGAAGATGCACTGTCATTATTTGCACAACATGCGGTAGGTGAAAAAAACTTTGACAAACATCCAACACTTAAGTTGCTTGGTGAAGGTATTGTCAAAAAATGTGGTAGACTGCCTTTGGCTTTGAAAACACTTGGGACAGTCTTGATGGGAAATAAAAATGGTGTTTAATGGGAGGAGTTGTTGAAGAGTGAGATATGGGATATAGAGGATGGAAGTGATATTCTTCCGGCTCTAAGATTAAGCTACTATCACCTCCCTCCACATCTGAAGCAGTTGTTTGCATACTGCTCCTTAATTCCCAAAGACTATGTGTTTGACAAGAATAAGTTAGTCCTATTGTGGATGGCAGAAGGATTTTTGTCCCAATCAAAAGGAAACAAGTCAAAGGAGCGTTTAGGTCATGAGTATTTTGAAGAGCTAAAGTCAAGGTCCTTTTTTCAACAATCAACGGACGATAAATTAGGATACACAATGCATGACCTGATAAATGATTTGGCCACAAGTGTTGCAGGAGAGTTTTCCTTTAGATTGGATGGTGAGGTTGATGTATCTGCCATGAATGAAACTTTTGATAAGTTTCTTCACTTCTCACTTATAGGTTCAGGATCTGGATCATTTAGAAAGCTCAAGGAATTACAAAGAGCTAAACGTTTGCGAACTTTCTTACTAATCTCAGTACCTTGGACAATTGGTAGCTTATTGGACAAGATTGTTGACGAATTACTTCCTGAACTACAGTTCCTGAGGGTGCTAAGTGTCGTGGGCTTGACTCCGAGTGATGATTACCTATGGCAAGGTATTCTTTCAATCAGAAAGATCCCACAATCCATTGGTAGTCTCAAGCATCTACGGTACCTTAATTTTTCTTTTACTGAAATCACAAGTTTACCAGAACAAGTGGGTGACCTTTATAATCTACAGAGTTTATTGGTTGAGAGTTGTTACAAGTTATCTAGCTTGCCAAAAAGTTTTGCAAAGTTGATAAACCTTCGACATTTTGGAATAGATAAGACGCCAAAGGTGATCAAGTTGCCCTTGGGAATTGGTGGCTTGACGAGTCTACAAACTCTATCCAAGGTCATGATTGAAGAAGCCAACGGGTTCAAAATATCAGATCTTAAGGAACTATCGGATCTTCAAGGTAGGCTTTCCATTATTGGTCTGGACAAAGTGATAAATCCAATCCATGCAAAGGATGCCAATTTACATCAAAAGAAGGGTCTTGAAGTTTTGGAGATGGAATGGAGTGATAATTTGTTTGATGATTCTCGGGATGAGAGAATTGAATATGAAGTACTAGAAGAACTAAGGCCTCCTCCTAAGTTAAAAAACCTCAAGATTTTGTATAACAAGGGAACGAGATTTCCTAGTTGGGTCAGGGATCCCTCGTTTGATCAGTTAACAAAGCTTACGTTACGTGGTTGTAGAAGTACACATCTACCAACACTTGGATGTTTAGGGTCTCTTAAGAAATTGGTTGTTGGAAGCATGAGTGAGGTGAAGAGTGTGGGTTTTGAGTTTCTTGCACCTGTAAGTTCTTTTATTGGCATTGGATTTCCATCGCTTGAAGTTCTGAAATTTAAAGATATGCAAGGTTGGCAGAGATGGTCAATTAATAATGGCGACGGACATGGAACTCCTAGATTATTTCCTCGTCTTCATAAGATCTCTATAAGCAGTTGTCCAGAACTAGCTGAGGTGTCAATCGGATTGATACCTTCACTTCGGGTTTTAGATATAGAAGAATGTTCCGAAGCAGTGTTAAGAAGCATGGTTGGTTTGTCCTCATCACTTGTTGAATTAAAAATGTTAAATGTCAAAGGACTTACTCAACTACATGGAGAAGATGTAATGCATCTTAGGGCACTTGAACATCTTTATATTAAAAATTGTGATGAACTGGGGGAACAAGAATCAGAGGCATGCAAGAGTCTTGTGAGTTTACAGAAGTTGGAATTATATGATTGTAGTGAGTTGGTTTCATCAGCAGAGAAAGAGGCTAATATTGGGATCAGCATGGAATCACTTAAATCTGTGGAATTTAGTAACTGTAAGACATTGGAGAGTTACAATTGTCCAAATACTGTTGAGAGGTTGCTGATCAGGGTTTGTGATTCAATGATATCGTTGACCTTCTCAGCATTGCAGGAGCAGCCATCCGGAATGACTGAATCGATAGTCAGTGATTGTGATAACATACAGTTACAGCCCAAACCCATTCCCATTCCCATTCCAGTCAAAGATTTCCGTTTTCTCTGTGTGTCTCGCCTAAGATATCTTGAAATCCAAGACTGCAAGAATCTAAAGTCATTTCCTCATGAGCATTTTCGAAGTCTCACATCTTTGGAAAAAATGTGGATATATGAGTGTCCAAGTATGGACTACTCCTTCCCTTGTGGGGTGTGGCCTCCTAATTTAAGGATGCTAATGATAGGATCCTTAAATAAGCCCATGTCAGAGTGGGGCCCACAGAATTTCCCAACCTCACTAAGTGAACTAGGGTTATATGGCTACGATTCAGGAGTGGTTTCATTTGCAGTGGCGGACGATGTGGGGAATACTACTACTCCTACTCCATCATCATCATCATCTTTTCTTCTTCCACCATCTCTGGTTTCTCTACAGCTCACGGATTTTAAAGATGTGGAATCATTTTCAGAGGTTATACCACGCCTCCCCTGCCTTAAAAGACTTCATATCATATCATGCCCGAAGATTACAGATCTTAAGACAACATCCAGCCCATCTAATTTGAGAATAACAGTGTGGGAGTAGAAAAGGTATGTATGTCATCTTCTTACCCATCATTGATCGTTTACATAAGTATTAGGAATATCAATTTTGAGACTTGTTTGTTTTGTTGGTTGAGAAGATTATTTTAAATATTTAACCAAAAGTCAAAACTTATACTAAAAGAAGAAAAAAAATTGCAAGTGCAGTGGCAATGAATAGCTTTTCATTTGTTTTTCAGAACTTTTACCATTAAATTGCTATGTTTCCATGACTGAATGAGTACTTGTATCTTACCAGCATTGTGTTACAAAATCTTTGTATTTCCTTTTTTATTTTCATATTTTAGTTTTCATTGATATCAGCTTCCAATAACCTTGTCCAGTATTGAAAGAAAAACTAGTAAACATAACAAGACTGCACAATTTGCACTGCATCCACAAACTTCGACATTTTAGGTCAAACCCTATCGTCATTAAGATCTTGACTTTGATAACTTTTTTACAAATTTGGCACTGGCTTAATTCCGTTGTAGTATTTGGTATACGACTTCACATTTTCTTACAAATTTGTATCGGTTGTGCGGTTAGAATTAGTCCATTCTACATTAGAACTTTTTCTGTTAATGTAAAAATACGGTCAAACTTTGTATAGAATGACTAATTATGTTATTTACTTTTTTACTTTTTTGTGGTTATCATTTTTTTATTTCTAGGTAATAAGTACCATATATAAGGATGATGTAAGTACTATATTTTCTAAACTTTTCTAGGGATATATTCCCCAACTTCTTTGCTCTTGTTAGTGATTACTGGAAGAGATTGTTAATGAAATCATTAAAACAATATCCAGTTTTACTAATGACTTTTATTCTTGATCACTCGATTTTTCTACAGGTGAAACATGGAGCAGGGCTATCTGTGCCATGCTAGAGAGGCAATTATATGCTGAATATGCATGAGGAGATTATTACACGGTTGCAGAAGGTCATTGGATTGTAAATACGAAATACATTTTCTAAATCTGGGATAATTAGTGATGGATCTAACCATGTATTGGTTTGTTGACAGTGCTTGGATGCATAGGCGCTTCCATCAAAGACTGGGGTGTGAGTTTAAGTGTGGTTAGGCTGGTGGGGTCCCACTACTAGTAGCATTGGTTCTGGGTCTCGGATACAAAAACTTGACTACCAAGGGTGTTGGGGTTTTCAAAATTGGTTGTAAATTTGAAAGATTTTGTTGCAAAAAAAAAAAAAAAAAAAAAAAAAAAAAAAAAAAAAAAAAAAAAAAAACTGAATGATCCACAAAACTGAACAAACCATTAGACTTTTTTATAATTTGTCCTAAAAATTATAAATTTATAGTAAGACTTGTTTACAAATTGGTGATATGATTTAACTGATAAAAATAAAACTACAATTAACACAAAGTTTATACTTACTCTGTCTATATTATTAAAAACTCTTTAGCTCTGAATCAAAGAAATCTCATCATCCATACATAACGAATTGATGTGGTATATTCATATCATACTATATGAATAGTAAGAATCAGTAGGTATTCATGCTTAAGTTTTGTTTCGTTATGAATATTTTTTACTATTGTACCAAAAAAAACCTCTATCTCCATTTAAAATGTGGATAAATCTTTGGGATAATGTCAGAGGTCCTATAAACTCTTTCATTTTGTTTGGAAAGATCCTTAATGTTTTTTATTTTTGTAGTATGAGGTTTTAAAGTCTATTTTCCCTTGGTAAAAAAGGTCATTTGAAAAAAAAAATGTACTGTTACCTTTGTCATGTCATTAATGAGATAGTCAACATGGATTTAACATTTGTGAAGAATTTCTTTTTCCATATATATTTTTTTTATTTTATTTAGGAGTTGGTTAAAAAGATACATTATTTTTCCATTTAGACACCCTATTTGATTTTTAAGGTTGTTTTATTGGTTGAATTTGCATTGTTTTTCGGAAAAGTAATTATAAACAATTTATTATAGGTTGATTTTTAATAAAAATGTTGATAGGGTGTTTAACGGGTGTCTTAATAGCAACACCCTTTTATTTATTTTGAAATTAGAATGGCCCACCCTACCTCCTAACCCCCTCGTATCTCTTCATCTTCATCCCTATATCATATAGCTGTCTTGGCTTCATATTCTTGTTAAACATAGCAAGAATATATCCATAAATTTAACTTTTTGTGAACAAAGATAATGAATGACCCAGAAACATGGCTACCACACTCATTCCTATTTTTGCTCCAGAAACTCCATTCCATGCACAATTGAAATTGCTATCGCCGTTATTAATATCATCTTCAAAGTATTCTCTATTGATCGTGAGTTGCAAATTATATATGTAATTTGATATTTTTCCCATAATTGATCTCTTTCATTAAACATAATTATATACACCAACACCATCCACGAATGGGCCAAATACAGTGGGTTGAAAATCGTGTGTGTGTGTGTGTGAGTGAGAGAGAGAGAGAGAGAGAGAAAGAGAGAGAGAGTGAGAGAGAGAGAGACCCTCTTTTATTTATAAATATAAAAATTATTAAATAAGTATTAAATTTAAAAAATGAAAGAAAATGGAAAATAAATGTACCAAGGGCATAACAATCATTTCAATTTTTTGAGGGACCAAAAACACAATGAAATTATCTCAAGACAAAATTACAAAAATGGTCCCTGTGGTTTGCCAAAAGTCACAAAGGCAATGAGGAAGGTTCGAACTCACGACCTCCACCTCCCTTTATTGCCAAAGCCTTAACCAGTTGAGCTGAATGTTCAGCTAGTTATTTGTTCCTAAAGCCAATATATATAATAATGAAACCGTTAATATTTAAATAATAAATAAATTAAAAAAACATTTTTTTACCTAATTTTTTTTAATAAAACAAAATGTATTTTAATCGTATTATAAAAAAAATTTACAAACAATTTTTATGTATTTATTTTACGTAAATATATTTTTTATGTCTTTAAAATATACATTTTCGTATAAAAAATATGTTTTCGTAAAATATATTCTTTTATGACTTTGAAATAATAATAATTAATACTACTCATTACATAAAAAATATATATAAATTCTTTTGGGTCACTAGTTCTCAAATACGTATTTCATCTTATTTAACATACATATTTCGTTTTATTTAAAATATGTATATCATCTTTATTATATATATATATAACCGAAAAATGGTTTTAAAAAAACCGATTGAACCAGTCGTTTTGTAAAAACCGTTTTTTTTTTTTTTTTTTTTTTTTTTTTTTTTTTGTTGTTGTTGTTTAGATACATAACAAAATCGTTGTTAAGTTGTTTTTAATACACATAACCGAAAAACCGGTTTTAGAGCTTGCAAACAAAAAGAATTTATATATTTTTTTATGTCATGAGTAGTGTTAAATATTATTATTTCAAAGTCATAAAAGAATATATTTTACAAAAACATATTTTTTTCGGTTATGTGTATTAAAAACAACTTAACAACGATTTTGTTATGTATCTAAACAACAACAACAAAAAAAAAAAAAAAAAAAAAAAAAAAAAAAAAAAAAAAAAAAAAAAGGTTTTTACAAAACGATTGGTTCAATCGGTTTTTTTAAAACCATTTTTCGGTTATATGTATTTAATAAAGATGATATACATATTTTAAATAAAATGAAATATGTATGTTAAATAAGATCAAATACGTATTTGAGAACTAGCGACCCAAAAAAATTTATATATACATAAAAAATATAGTATTAATTATTATTATTTACGTAAAATAAATACATAAAAAATATATTTACGTAAAATAAATACATAAAAATTGTTTGTAAAAATATATTTACGTAAAATAAATACATAAAAAATATAGTATTAATTATTATTATTTCAAAGAATATATTTTATGAAAACATATTTTTTATACGAAAATGTATATTTTAAAGACATAAAAAATATATTTTACATAAAATAAATACATAAAAATTGTTTGTAAAAATATATATTTTTTTATAATACGACTAAAATACATTTAGTTTTATTAAAAAAAAAATAGGTAAAAAAATGTTTTTTTAATTTATTTATTATTTAAATATTAACGGTTTCATTATTATATATATTAGCTTTAGGAACAAATAACCAACTGAGCATTCAGCTCAACTGGTTAACGCTTTGGCAATAAAGGGAGTTGGAGGTTGGCAATAAAGGGAGTTGGAGGTCGTGAGTTTGAACCTTCCCTCTTTTTTTCAGCAAATTAATTCATTTTTTCAAAAAAAATTCAAAAATGGTCCCTATGGTTTATTAAATGTCACGAATTCAGTCCCTTTATACTTGAAAAGACGAAAATGCCCTTACAGATTCAGTCCCTAACGGCGTTTTACTAACTTACTAACGGTGTTAGTAAAAAGGGCCAACTTTGCAAATTTTACAAACCACAAGGACCATTTGCATCAAAAAAAATTAGCAGGGACTGCCTTTGTGACTTTTAGCAAACCACAGGGACCATTTTTGTAATTTTGTCTTATCTCAAAATGAACACCAAGCCAAATAAAATAAATTAAGGTTTGGACTCAACCTTAGAAAAAATATATAGGAACCATTTTTTGCAGTTTTGTCTTTCGAAAATTTAACATGGGATGTCTTCTCAAGAACAAGAGTAGCACCTACTTCATCTTCATTCTTATAACACAACCCTACCCAACCCTAAAACCTCCCCTTGACTGCCATTGCGATCAAACAAGAGAGAAGGTTAAGAGGGAAACCCCAAAAATGATGAAATCGGGATAGAGAGAGGACGTCGGGAAGGAAAGAAGTGTTGTCGGAAAATGGTTGTGGCTGGTTGGAAATTGATCGTCAGAATCTTTGGCGAGAGAAGGGAGGAAGAGGTGGTGATTTTGCTTGACATCCTTGGTCGGTAACTATTTCTTCATCTACCTTTTTTTTCTTTTCTCATTAAAGCACCAAACACCACCACCACAAACCACTGCCGTCGCCAGTGGTGGTGGCTGCCGGAGGACCACCGTGGCACCACCTTGTTATGAATAACACAAAGGAAAATGATTTTATATATATATATATATATATATATATATATATATATATATATATACTGTTTAAGTTGACGGTCCAGGGAGGCATGGAAGGATCAAAATTACAAATCAGTTCCTTTTTGGACAAAACCCGACAAGAATCTAAACATAAGGACCAAATCTTTAATTGTGGCACATTATAAAATGCATAAATCAGCTTTGCAGAGTACTCGGTCAACCTTGCTTCTACAAAATTTCATTATTTCATCTTTTGAAATCAAAACCTTCAGCAAAAAACGATATTTCCTTTTTCCTAATTCCAAATTCGAATGGCTGAAATCGCTGTTACTGCCATCATCACTGTGCTGTGTGAGAAGCTGATCTCTGGTGACCTGATGAAGCTGGCTCGATCTGAAGAAATCGATTCTCAGCTGAACAAATGGAAGAAAACCTTACCCCTGATCCAAGCCGTGCTTGGTGATGCAACCCAGAAACACATAACAGACAGAGCTGTTCGATTGTGGGTGAACGATCTCCAGGACTTGGCTTACGATATAGACGATGTACTCGATGATTTGGCCACCGAAGCTCTGCGACGCAAGTTGAATCAAGAAGCTCAAGCCAGCTCCAGTAGTAGTAAGGTATTGAAGCTCGTCCCAAATTGCTGTACTAATTTCACTCCTCGCAACTTCATGTATGGTCGGAAGATGAGTTCAAAGCTAGATGAGATCACTGCCAAATTGCGTGATCTTGTTGACCAGAAAAATGATTTGGGTTTGAATGTAAATGTTGAAAGGTCAAATATAAGAGAGAGACAGTTGGAGCAAACTTCACTGGTTGATGAGTCCAAAATCATGGGTCGGGAAGGGGATAAAGAGGCCTTGATGGGGAAATTGTTGGGAAATGAAGGATGTGACCAGAATGTGAGCATAGTGTCGATAGTTGGAATGGGTGGGATAGGCAAAACCACTCTTGCCAAACTCTTATACAACGAGGAGAAAGTGAAGGATCACTTTGAACTCATGGCATGGGTTTGTGTTTCTGAAGAGTTTGATGTATTTAACATTAGCAAGGCAATCTTCCAAGCAGTAACCGGTAAAAACGAAGACTTTGCTAATCTCAATCTGCTTCACGTTGCCTTCAAAGAAAAACTTTCGAAGAAGAGGTTCTTACTTGTTCTAGACGATGTGTGGAACGAAGACCACAGTAAGTGGGAACT